TTTCCTGAAGATAGAAGAGTTTGTTGAATCTGACGTGACATGTTCGTACGAACCCTTTGTACGAACAAAAATAAGAGAAATTTAGGAGAAGAATACGAACATGTTCTTGCATGAGGCCCATTGTTTTGTGCTGCTGTTACCAGTCAGCATGGTTTGTTCCGTGTTCCTCCTGAGATCTTGTAAGTTTTGCTGCCACGTCAGCCTTCTTTTATTCTTTAAAATAAACCATTTTGTTACATTTTGAATTCTGCCTATGCCCTGGGTTTTTCTGCCTGCAATCCTCACAAGTGGATAGCACTGTTGCCTCTTAGTAAGAAGGTTTGCAGTTTGATCCTAGTTCAGATCTGAGGTCTTTCTGTGTGGAGTTTACATGTTCTCCTTGTGTTTGAGGAAACAGGAGTACCTGGAGAAAAACCACGCAGTCAGACCAATAAACATGCACACTAGGCTGCCTTCAGGCCTCCCTTGCAAAAGAGATCTCTTATTGTGATTTTCCTCGTTAAATAAAGGTTAATAAATTTCATTACAGGGTGACATAAAGACTTAAACAATAACAAACAAGTTAAAGAAGCATTAAAAACAAACAATAATACAAAATACAAAACTCATACATGGAAATTAAATGCTCAAAAACAAAATGCATTGCTAAAGTGTTAAAACATTTGCAAGCATCTTTAAAGGTTTATAATTGTAGTTTAAAAGCAGAAACACAAACAGATGAAGTGAGTCCCAATGGTTTCTGCAGAGGACATTAAACCAAAAGGAGAACTGGTCCTCCAGATCTTCAACAACAAACACTGGTACCCAGAGGTGACAAACGTATTCACATTTATTACTGAAGCAGGAGGAGATACTAAAATACTTTTTATAAGTAGAAATATCAACTCAAACTTTTCACTCAAGTAAAAGTAAAAAAAATTGGTTTCAAAACTACTTAAAAGAATAAAAGCAAAAATAATGTAAGGGGGAAAAAGCCATTAAGGATAAAAGCTCAGGCTGTAACACAGGGGTCTAAATAAGGAGCAGAAAGTCCAGAGAGTTGCATGAAAATGTACAAAGTAGGAGTAAAAAGTAGGCTGAAAAATAATTACTCCAGTAAAGTATATAACCAAAATTTGTATTTAAGTAAAGTAACAAAGTATTTGTACTTCCTTGCTTTGACATCTTTCTTTGCACTATTGAGACTACTGATTTTTTTGAAAATCAGGTAGAATGGGATTTAATCATGTGATTGGGCCGATCCAGTTTTTGCGACAGTTTTCAGCATCATCATGCTTTACAGCTGCTGTTAAGAAGTCAAGACACACACAAGTATGCAACCATGTCCACAGTGTGGGAACACTTTTCAATGGAAAACAATGATGCTGAAACTGCATCTTGAAAAATCTGCAAACTGGATGTTTCTCGTGGTGGGAACAGCAGGACTCACTTGAATACTACCAACCTTGTCACCTGGAAAGAAATAAAGAAATAAAGCTATCGGATCAGTATCAGAAAGACTAATCATTAAAAACATCAGATTGTATCGAGAGCCAAAAAATCTGGATCGGGACATCCCTAATTGAGACTGACAGACAACCATTCACACCACAAAGGCAACCAGAGTGCAAACTCCACACAGAAAGATTGAGCCAGGTTTTTAACCTGCAACCTTCTTACACTGAGGTGACAGCTCTAATCAGTTGCTGTGTGGCCCACCTTCAGCATCTTTTGTCCAACATTTCCACAATCGCTCCTCTGAAGATCTTCACAACATCTCAGCCTTGTCTTTCTAACGTGGTCTCCAAACTGTTCAAGCTGATTTGTCCCTTTGATGGACTCATTTCTAATCCTGTCCATGTTGGTACAATAAAAACCATCACATCTTCAACCTTCCACCTCCAGTTTTTTCTAGAGCCACTGTCTCCAAACTAAACATCATAGCAGGTCTCACCAGCACTCTTCTGTCACAAATCTCCTCTGGCACTGCTCTCCATTCACTTCATCCTGCATGCTTTGATTTTCTCCTATCTTATGTTCTGCCCATGGCTTTAGATGGTTGATCCAAGAAACCTAAACTCATCCAACTTCAATACCTCCTGCAGTCACTGTTAGAGGTCTTGTTTTCATTCACATACAGAAATTCTGTGTTGCTTCAACTTTTGTTCCTTTTGCCTCCACAACAAACCTCCACTTCTCCAGGCTCTCTTCCACCTGCTCCCTACTCTCACTACAGATACTGTCTGCAATCATCACACTGGGACTCCTGGTCGACCTCATCAACCTGTCCACCACTCCAAACAAAAAGGGGCTCAGAGCTGATCCCATCCCCTCCTTGAACCCATGTATCTCTCTTACTGCACACCTCATCACTGCCCTGCTGTCCCTGTACATGTCCTGCACTACCCTTACATAATTCTCTTCTACACCTGCCTAATTTTAGATGTGTGGGAAAAAGTACCAGACAAGTGCTGCAGATAAAACACATATTAACTGACAAATGTGACCATCTCTGTACAATCAGCCTGCTCCTCTGAAACATCCAGATGTATGTTAGCAGATGTACAGTGGAGCCCAAGGGCAGCAACGTGTTGTGCTTCTGGGTAGTAATGAGCTGACTTAACTAATGTCCTGATGCATCTCAGTAATCCAGGTAGAAAAAATCAAAAAGAAAAAACAAGTAGGTCCTCTGGATGGGTTCTTCTTTAGTGAAACGTTTCGTCTCTCCTCCAAGAGACTTCTTCAGTCTGATGAGTTTCAGGTGAACTCAGCCTTAAGCACTGCCTCCACATGGTGGACAAACAGGTTAGTCATATGCAAAAGAGGGCCATCGCCCAACAATATGCTTGATTAGCTCTATTGTTCATAGAGGGTCATGTGCCCCATCACCTGACTTATTGGTTTGGATGCTTCGGCTGTGGTTCTGTGGTGTCGTGTTATGTGTATGTAGTGA